ATCTCATATTGTGAAGAGCCTCTATTTAATAGAATTAAAATATATCACTTCCAAGAAAATAATAGTGGCATCAGGTTTTATACAATACCAAACAGTTACTGCAATACTAGTTGGCTGTTACAGAGGAATGAGGTATTTTACTACAAATATGCTTCAGTTTATAACTAGTTACTTTTCTTGTTACTAGACTCTCTTGCTTTTATTGTTTCAAGTATGTTACTGTTCTGTATATAGAAAAGCTCCCTGTGAAATACTTCATGAGGTCTTTCCATTGTTGTTACTCTGTTACAATGCTGAAAAAAATGTTTTCCACCAACCTTCTGCATTTATGAATCTATTGTAATTAATTCACATAGCTGGATATGCTGCAAGAGCCAGGAAATCCAAAGGCTGCTTAATGTTCTGCCAACATCTAGATATTCTGTCATGACATCAGGACCATAAGAATTATCCAGAAACCAAACAAATCCAGAATAATTAATGTTCATGCTGGTTTTGTCCTTTCCATGCATTATGGCGTATCATCTACCCACCATGTGTTGGTGCTTTAATCTCACCTGAGATTCACTGGGAGCAGCCAACAGCTCTGGTCAGAGATCACCTTTCCCTCTGCATTGTTGAAGAGATGAAAGATGAGCATGACATCCAAATGTCAGTTCAGCAGTGAGAAGCAGCTATACTAACTTGTCCTTTATTTGAAGGCATGAGTGGCTGCTTCTGCTCAATGACATCAGTGTAAAAATGCAGGAGGAAGATGACAGAAGGGACAGGACGCTGCATTTTTTTTTCCTTTTACCTACTGTATCATGCATTATTGTGACACAATCACCAGGTTAGTTCAGGAAGGAAAAGTGCATTCATTAGCCTGTCCTCTGGTTTCTAGGCACAAACACACCTTCTAGCACTCAGCATCATGACCCCACCATGGGTTCTACTGTCCTAGCTCTGCAGAACAGCAGAGATATTTTTTTCCTTAAAGGTCAGGAGATATAAAAATACTTCACAGAGGATAAAAAAAATCAGCACAAAGGAGTAAAAACAAAATTGAAAGGGGTTTAGTTACTAAAAAAGGATTTTAGTTGCTAAATAATCTAAAGCTGCCAAATGATGACATAGCTCAATTCATGGTGTAGCCCTGAAATTTTAGGCAGATATTCAGGGTGCTGGCTGTAGAATGATGCCTTGGTTTGATGAAGTCTTGAAACTGTGGAAAAGAACCAACATTCTTCTGCAGTGTGTAAGGACAAAGTGAAACTAAGGACATGAAAACACCAGTTCACAGCCCAGAGTGACCTGTGTCTGCAGCACTATGTCTGGCTCCACTCCATACCACTTTGTAGGAAAGGCTTCAAACAAACAAACATTAATTATATTAACAAGCAAAAACTCATTGCAAAAAATGTACCTTTATTTTTTTATTTTTTTTTTTTGCCAATCTGCATTCACTATGCTTTCCTTTTCTGAATAATTGCTTCCCCTGTATATTAATTTAAGGTTAGACTGGACAAGAATTGTTTTCAGTCCCAGAAGCTGGTTGGAGAAGAGCATTGCCACAAAACTGAAAGAAGGCAGATTATAGGATACAGACCAGGAAGTGCTTTAAACAGTAGCTGAGTGGATTTTTTTATTACTGTGAGAAGCAGCTGAAAGACTGTCATTAAAAATAATAGCAAACATATGTGATGTGTTCTCACACAGAGGAAACTGTGTGGAAGTTCCACATATGATCATCCTGCCACTGAGCTCAGAGGGATAGCTTCACTTTGATGAGGTTTCAAAACACATTGCAGGAGTCTGCTGGTGTTTTCTTGGGAAAAACAAATTTTGTGATGGAATGTGATGAGTGTCACACATTTGAGGTATCAAAAAGAGATATTTCTTAGTATTGTAAACCCATGATCTTCCAGCAGTTATTAAACTGTAATGGTGAGGGGACTGCAGAGCACGGATATTGGATCCCTCTGAAACAATGGTGTTTATGTGATGTAAGAGCTTTCTTCTTTCTCTCTTATATGTTGTTTCTTAACACTCTGCATTGGAAATAACTCCTGCCACACAAAAAGTAGCAGTAGAGTAGGGATTGCATGTCCCTGATCCACTCTGCTACTGAACAAGTTCAGCTGTGTTGTTTCCAGCCTCCTTTGCTGACTCACCTCACTTATGTGACCTTAAACTGAAACCACAGAGGATGAGATTTCTCATCTCAGCTGATGTGTGGAATAATATCCTGCAGCTGGCACATTGCAGCAGCTATCTGGAAACAATTTTTGAGCCTTGCACAAGATTATAATTCTACAGCATGCTAAAGGTCACACTGATTAACTTGGATGGGAATTAGCTGTGTATAAATTCCTTACTCCTAATAAAGCAGGCAGGAAACCAATGTCCAATCCATCATTTTGAAATTAATTAATAAAGCAATACTAACTGCAAAGACTCAGTTACCAGAATAAGCTATTGGAGCAGCTATCACTGTTTTTCCAGAAGCATTAGGTACTTGTATGAATTGGGTGTTATTGTATTTCAAAGCCTGATCATCATGCTTACTTAAGGTGAAGAATTCTTTGTTGATTATTGCTGTTCTAAATACACATAAAGCCACTTAACATGAGTTAATTCTTGTGTGGTTTTGTCTTTGGATTTTTTTTCCAGACTCCAAAATCATGCTCCATTCGAACTGTAATGTACTTCAGACTGAGATAGAGATGCGAGAACCTCACCATCTCTTACACCCACAGAGTAGCTGCACAGCTGCAGGGTGATCAGGATTGCTTCAGTTGGATTACTTCACCTGAGTGCCTTCCAGGCAAGTAAGGAGTCCTACATGCTGAGAAAGAAGTTGTGGAAGACACACCAAGCAAGAGAATGTACCTGCATCCCTCTTACTCTCTAGAAGCTGGAACCCACAGTCACGTCTCTACTTCAGACTCTGTACATTTAGGATCTTGAGTGCAGCAGATTCCAAAAGGCTGATCAGGGGTACTCAACCTGCACTGCATTCTACCCCCTTAAAGCACTTGGGAAGTGCAAGCTTTGTCTTTTCACTCTCACAGAACTAAAACTTGCATCTCTTAAAGCATTTTGCCAAACCACAGGACTAGACCCACTGTAAAATTTAAGAATTCTCTCTTTAACCTGGTGAGGAATAAAATCTAACTGTGACCTATGGCAGAAAAAGGACTGTAAGATGAGCAGGGCAGGGAAGAAATGAGCAGAAGGGAGCTTCACTGCATAATCCAATAGTAAAAGCATTAACTTATGAAAGGAGAAAAGGGAAACCTCACTTCACTGCTGCTATTCAGCACTTAATGCCCTTTCTCTTGTTCAGTGAATCCCATTGCCCCAGCCCCTTGTCTGCTTTCCACATCCAAGAAGAGAACTGAAGAATTGAAGTCACCCCAGTTATTCAGCCCCTCTTAAATCACAAACATGTTTTTCAGAGGTTATCAGTAGTCTCCTGGTGGAGGCACCTCAAAAAAGACCTTTACATTTCCCATCTCTGTCCTCAGGCTCCTTCTGAGGCAGAGCTCAGCTGTCTATGCTCTCTCTTTCTCAGGGCATTTGGAGGGGCAGGCTGAGGGATGGTACGTGTGGCACCAGCCACGGGATGTCCCCCTCAGGAGATGCTGCTGCCACACTGGCACCATATGCCTTTTCATTTCGTGACACCTGTTTACACAGCGTGAGGCAGGACAAAGATTACTTTCACAACAGAATGGGAAATCATGGAGTGGGTTCAGGGAATAGCGTGTGAAAGCATTTAACAATTCACATTGTGAGAATGTGTAGAACTGTCCAAATAAATGCTGTTTCCAGTCTCCTGTGTAAGAGCCACATTTGCAAATCATTAAGCCAAATAAAGCAAATCCTGTAGCTAAAAGTTATAAGCAGAAAAAAAAATTCACTTTTTCTGATTGTTGTTTCTTAACATTTCCATGTTGGCAAGGTGTGTTTTGCTGCCTTGACTATTCTGCTTAGTATTACAACATAAATGAGAAAGTTGACTTTTATGAATGTGTAACTTAAAATAACTATTCTCTCCTGAGCACAGAATATTTGTCTCTGTGACAATATACAATGTTACAATGGCATTGATGGCCTTTGGAAAAGTTGGAGAATAGGTTTGCTCCCATTTTGTGAATGCTTCAAATTCTGGGGAACGTGGACTGGTAGATTAGTTTAAACCAAAGTGGTTCTGAGTTAAAGTGCTGCATAGCACAATCTCAGTCATGGCCTGATGCTCCTTTTCTCTTACTCTTCTGAGATCTTCTGAGTGACAGAAGAGCGAGATAATTTAAATCTTGGGGATTAAGTCTTCAATTGCTGCACCACATTGACCAGATCTGTCCAATCATGCATATCCTCTCCTTACTATGCTGTGATTTTTTGGTTTTTTTTGGACAGTGAGCATTTGAGTCTGTACTAACTGTTACAATGAAAATAGCGCTACAGGCGTATTACATGATGTGACAAAACATTAAGAACTCTAATGCTCAGTATAGAATAGATAAGTTGACTTAACAACCTCCAAAAAGAAAGAAATGTAGCATTTTCCAGCTCTGAGAAAGCTCCATGTTCATCGCCTGGAGAAGCAGCGGGTCCCACAGGTGCGGCGGCGCCCTGGCCCGGAGGAGCTCATTGCATTTCACAGCATGGAAACGAACCACAAGCACTTTAAGACCTTATGTAGCACTGTCCTTTTTTTTCATTCCGTTTCTATGCATTTAATTACTCTCCCAAATCCAAACACATTTGTGCCTACAATAAGCCAGAGGCTCTCTGTTAGCCTGGATCCGTGGCGCCGCATCACTTCAAACTTTCAGAGGCCAAACAGACCCTGCAGCATACAGGTGTTCCAACACGGCAGCGCTCGGCACTGCAGTGCGTGCAGGGCTTTTCCCCCAGGATGCCCAGCCCAGCAGTTTTTGTCTGGCACGCAGGGCGAGCGCGCTCCTTTCCGACTGAGGCGGGCCCGCCCTCCGGCCGCCATGTTGGGGTGGGGCCGGCCGCGCGCTCCTCGCGCTGCCGGAAGTGACGTGTCCGGGCCGCGCGCGGCGGCGGCGGCGGGAGGTGCGGGCCGGGCCGGGTTCAGGAACGGGGCCGGGGCCGGGCCGGGTTCAGGAACGGGGCCGGGGCCGGGGCCGGGGCCGGGGCTCGGCGGGCCGTCCCTTCCCGCCATCCCCGTGGGGTCCGGGGGAGCTCCGGGTCGGGGTTCGCGGCCTCCCCCGCCGCGAGCGGACGGGCCCGGGCCGGGAGCCGGGCTCGGGGTCGGTGGGCCGGGCCCCGGCAGCCCCGGCCGCGGCCTGTCCGCTCGCTCGCTCGGGGCCGGCTGCGGCGGTGCAGCCGCTGTGTGGCCGCAGCGTATCGGAATAGACCCGGGGGAGCCTTTGGGTTTAAGGACTTGTGTAAGCATAGCCTTAAAGGACAAAATAAAGGTGCGTGTTCCGGCACCTTGTGCAGTCGAAAGCTTTTGATTTTCTTCCGTGTGTTACAGGTGAAATGGTTTTCATATGCTGAACTCCAGCTTGGATTGCCTCGTTGCTGCACGTTGAGAACTTCGTAAAAAGCAGGAAGTCAAGATGAAGAGCAGGGTGACACAAGTAAATGTAAGTGTTCTTAAAACTAAATTGTGAGATTTGATACTTCCCATGTCACTGGTAATTAGGTTTGTAGTTGATATTATGTTAAATAAAACTTCCTGAGTGCAAAGCAAGTAATATCTGTAACAGACAGAAGTTGTTTGCAAGATAAATACTACTAGGAGTCAGTAAATTACTGACTAGTAATTTACTAGCTGCTGTTGTCCTTGCAATTAAAGTCCTGAATATTATTAGTGTAAAATGTTACAATAATTGGTCAAAACTGACTGAATGCTGATGGCTCAACAGTAAGTGTAAGCATGTAGAGGAGTGGAGAAGGATTTTGAGAAATTTAACAACAATCTTAAAAGATATTGAAACAATAAGTTGCAGTTAATTTGACAACTGTATGTCATACTATGCACGTTAAAACTTTTCCTTTTAATAGCTATGTGTCCCACTTCTGAGTGGATGGGGTTGATTTTTTTGGGAATGCAAGAAGAAAAAGTTTAGAAATGCTGTTTGCAATGGATGCCAGTTTTGAGACATGTTAACAGAGCAATATTGTTGTGATGCCCTGACTCAGATCTGTGGTATTACTCTCCCTGTTTGCCCAGAGTTGGAACCTGCATAGGCTTCTTCACTCTTTTAGACCATCTTTTCTGACTTGAGTGACTTCTAGTAGGGATGCTTGAGGGGTAGTTTAATACCTTCTCCTGTTCTCCCCACCTGGTAGCGCTCCCTCATCTGTCAAAACAAGCCAGTTAGCAAAAGCGCACTGTTTGGACAGTTTCACTTAATCACTTTGATGAAAATGGATAAAGAAGAGGGCTAACTTGTGGCAGAAAACCTGGTCACAAAGAGCTGAGGGTGACAATTTCTTCAGCAAGCATAGCTTCTTTTGCAAGGAGATGTGATAAATGGCAAATACAGAAACAGCCATAACATTGTTTTATTTCTGTGAACATTTGTCTCTTTGGTTCTGCTTGGGCAGAGACACATGATAAAGAATCCATTGGAATGGATCAGCCTTAAAAAGACCCACTGCCTTCTTCCCATCTGCTAGATAGGATTTAAATACAGTAACTATTTTGTGGTATTCAAAGATTTTTATTACCGCTTTCTTGGAAGCTTAGGATTCAGACTGGCATATATTACTATGTTGGGAAAAGGAAACAAGGACTCTTGTTACCCTTGAATGAATTCAGTGATCTGCTGTGTGCTGTAATGACCATTCAAAGGGGTAGAAAACCTTGGTGAATGTGTGAATTTTTTGTACTGTGTCCACTGTTGAAGGTAATGTGGCTCTAAAATGACACAGGTGGACATAACTTCTATAGGGATGCATGCTGCCAGTGGACAGTGCAAAGCCCTTGTTTTGTGTCATGGCCTTTATGCAGGCAACAGAACTCTGGGTGTAATTTTAACAATTTGAATTGCCCCCTTGGAAGGGCAATATTCCAGGATATGTTATAGTGGCCTCAAAAAAACAATTTTTTTTTTTGCATATATACACACCCTCCCAGTTAAGTTTTTGGAGATAGCAGTTGCTCTGCTTTTTATGGAAGAGGTGTCATGTTCTGGTCACCCAGAGTTTTAATTGGTTCTTTGGTGGGGAGGAGGCTGCTTCAACGAACGAGCTGAGTGTTCCTACAGGGAGTTCCATCAAGGTGCATAAGGAAATGCTTTTGTTGAGTTACTGCATCATGTGAGGTGTTCCCTGTTTCACAGATAATGACTCTGTGACATTGTGAGATTGTGGTTCTGAAAAATCATAAATAATATTTTAAAGAAAGAGGTGACCCTTCCAATGAAAGTACTCAGGTTACAAATGCTGCTGTTTACAAATGTTTAGAAACATGTTAATGAATATCTTTCTGTTTGCTGTAGATGCTGTCACTTTCTGATTTTTGTACTGATTTTCTACTCCATACTTCATGTCATGGTTCAGCCCATGGAATTTGTTGTGAGCTGTTTAAGTGTGTATCACTTACACAATTCTGCAAATTGCCAAGTAGATCAGTGCAGCTCAGATGTTTGTAATGTATGAAACTAAGAATGACTCTTGAGGAAATAAATTGTGATTAGTAAAAAGGGGGAATGTAAGGAAAAATTACTCAATAAAGGGAATTTTTAGGAGAGAGGAAAGACAGTCTTTAAACAAGAAATGGTGGAATTCTGTTCATGGTATTGCGTGTAATACAACAAATGAAAATGGCATCTGAAAAAACGAAGCAGGAAAGGCAGACCAGTGGTCCATCTACTCTAGTCTCCAGCAGTAGTTAACAGCAGATGCCTTAGAGAGTTTAGGAATAGGGATATATAAAAGTACTTGCCGGCATACTCTCACACTCTACCTGTTTGCAGCTTCCTCAGCCAGATAAAGTCTTTTAGTAACCCTTGTGGATTTTTCTTTGGTGTTTATTCCATGCCTTGAACCTGTGGAAGCATTTGGCATGTGCAGCATCCTGTAGCAGGGTGTCTAGCTGCTTAACTGCTTGTTCCTAGAGAAGCAGGAACCTCTCCTGACTGCCGTCAGCTTTATTGATGGCCCTTCTTGTAAAAGAGTGGGAACTGAGGCATGGTATGTTTTGATCTAAGGAGAGGTGCTCACAGTCATGTTGTGGCTTGATTTTTTTTCTTTCTCTTTCCTTAAAGCATGGTTCCAGTCATGACAGGAAGGAAAACTACAGTTCCCGACATGAAAGTTCGTCTCCAGAGGACAGGTAGAATGACTGATTTTTGTATCCTTCAATTCTGTATATATACCTCACATAGTGAGTTAGAGAAGTTAAAAAAATTATCAGGTTATGTTTCTTTTTATATATTACCATAACTAAGTGTTAAAAACCAAGTGTAGCAAGTGTGTTTAATTACATACTTGAGTGTCACTATAACAGTAATTAAATGGATGTGTTACTGAAAGTTAGTGTTTAGCTAAATTTTGAGACTTGAAAGTGGAAATTACATGCTAGCTTTTTGCTTGAAGTCATATATTGCTGATACCATAGTTACCATTTTTGGGCAAGATTGCTTCATGCTGTACAGGCAAAAGTAAGTAGAAACAAAGGAATATGTGTGTTCCGAGGAATGCAAGCTGCTGAATTTACCATTGATTTTTGATGTTATTACTGTTAAACATTTAATTTCAGATTTTAGGAGCTTTCTTTTACAGTTCTTTTTTTGATTTTTGGTAATATTTTCCTGATGGCAAATTATTGTTAAAGTAGACACTTTTATTGGAGTATATTTTGAAACTCACATTGCAGAATTGGAACTTCTGCATAGTTACATTATATTGCAGGTAAATATTACCACCATTGGTTTTCTCAGCCTCTTACTAAAAGGTTTTTGTGTCTTGTGTTGCAAGAAGGGACATGGAGCGTGATAGGTCTCGGTCTCCATCTCCCAGGAAGAGGAGATACTCTGATGACAGCAGATATGATGAGGAATATTCAAGACGGGAATACTATGATGACAGAACTTCAGATGGAAGGTCTGGAGCCCTTTCTTAATCAGTAATGAAATACTTATTTTTAAATAATAAAATATGTAAGCTTTTCACAAACACTTGGGTGTTTATTTTCCCTTTAGAAGGATGGAAAGGGGGAGAGACAGACACTATGAGAGATGGGAAGACAGAGAGTATGATCGAAGGAAGCAGAGAAGATACTCATCACCTGACCGCAGGAGTCCAGAGAGGTCGACAGGCCAGAGCTCACTTACTCATGACGAGACCACCTCAAAGAAGAAGAAAGAAGAGGTGGATCCAATCCTCACTCGCACAGGTGGTGCATATATTCCACCTGCCAAGCTCAGGATGATGCAAGAGCAAATCACTGATAAAAATAGGTGAGTTCAAAGTTACATAGTAGTTTTTTTGCTACAAGCAAAATGGTTAAGGTGTTTAGAGAGAGTGTTGTGATCATTGTTTTGGAAGTATGTTTTTATGAGAAGAGAGATAAGAGAATCATATTAAACTACCTGCTTCTGCTGTAAAGTGGAAATTATAAAGGAAAGCAGGATACTGAATGTACCTAGGATTTTTTTTGAATGTCTTACAAAACAACATACTGGGTTATACCATATCTGCAGAGAATTACACTTTGGTTTCTCATGTTGGTTTACTGATTTTTTAATGGTTGAATGTATAATTGTGAACAAGTCTTCACATTTATGCAGAGAATATTTTTAATTTATTTTACTGATTAAATAAAAATGTGAATGCATGCTATATATGTATAAATTTGCTCAGTGCAACTTCAAATTTTTACATTATTAATTTGTGATACTCTGTAATAGCTTGGCATACCAGAGGATGAGTTGGGAAGCCTTGAAGAAGTCAATCAATGGTCTTGTCAATAAAGTGAACGTTTCTAATATAGAAAACATCATTCATGAGCTCCTTCAGGAGAATATTGTTCGGGGAAGGTAAGCCTTAGTATTTTAAAATAATTCTTTTGCTCTTCTGGACCATGTACACTTCCTGTGTACACTTCTGTGTGTGTTATTAGTAGTGTATGGGTGTTAGTCAGATTTTAGTATTAACCTTGGGCCATATTGTCCTATCCAGAATAATCCCTTACCTGGGAAAGGTATTGTATGCTTGGTGGAATAAGAGTACAACAGACGGTGTATATTTCCTTTTCTTAAGGTTTTCTCAATGCATTTTACTTGAATGACTTGTAATTTACAGTTGTCACCATCTATATATTTTTGTAGTGCTTTGTTACTTTTTTCTGGGACAAATAATATTTTTAGCCACTATTTAGCAAAACAAGTTTTACTACAGTTATGTGTTGGTGTTGTTTATCGATGTAATGTAAAGACCATTATGCTGTTGTAGCTTGGTAGATCCAAAAATAATTTTGTTACATTTCAAACAGATAGTGAAATTTTTCATGTGTGTTATATAGAATTTGATGGGAAGATCAGAGTCAGGCAACTAGCATAAAAATAAGATAATTAAGTAACATCTGGACAGTGGGCAAATACCTGAATGTGATTTCTGTTAAAAGTAATAATGAAGTTTCATGCTTTTGTAGGGCTGCTTTTTACTTGCCTGTATTTCTTGTCCCCAAAATTTAATTTTCATACTAGCAACGTTATTTTAGTTTAAAAATTACTTTATTGACTATTTTTAGAATGCACTTGTCTGTGGAAGTTTCTGTGCAGTTTATAAATGTCAAAATAATATATATGGAAAATGGTACCATTTCCTTCCTTAGTTCTGTACTCGAATTTGCACAAAGGGCATTTAAAAGTAATGCCATGGACTTTTACCTGGCTGTCAGGTCCTTTCCTGAGGTTTTAATTAGATGGTAAATAAGAACTAAAACAGACCACTTTCAGTACAAGCAAGAAGTAACTAATTTCAAAATGGAAATATTCTATTTTTATGCACTAGCGTGAAATGAGTTCTATTTCACCAGTCAATGCCAAAGTAAGTAGGAATAAGGTCCCTATGCACTTTGTATTTATTACTCTGTAGGAGTAGAACACGGAAGGTAGATTTGGATATCAGCTTACATGTAGTTGAGTAATACAGCAAAAGTCAAATTCAGTGTGCTTTAAGCATTACAAAAAGCAAAACTGAGAGGAAAGGAAGCAAGTCGCATATTCTTTTAAGACTTTCTTGATAATAAGTGTAAAATAGATTATTTGAATAATAGAAGAACTATTATCTCATTAGTCCTTTCTTTACATTTGTTTAGGCTCTAAGTAGTAGTTCAGATTAAAAAAGGGATAATTGAAGGATACAAGATGGTTTTTTGCATTGCTTAGCATTTTTGAGTGTATCTCTAATATGAACAATATTTAGTGAAAATTAGGTAACAGTTTAAGAACTTTTCAGTTCAGACAGATTTGTGCAACACATTTTGCAAAATTCCATTTGTGGCATGATAAACCATGGTTTGAAAAAGATAGCTGATTTCTTCCAGCTATTCCAACTGCACAACACTATTTCATGTGGTAAGTACTAACTAAAAACATTACATGCTTTATTACCAGGAAGATCTTTAAAACTTACTTGTTTTTCCAGGGGATTGCTGTCTAGATCCATTTTGCAAGCTCAGAGTGCCTCTCCGATTTTCACTCATGTTTATGCAGCTCTTGTGGCAATTATCAATTCGAAGTTTCCAAATATTGGTGAATTGATCCTCAAGAGGCTGATACTGAATTTTCGTAAAGGGTATCGCAGAAATGACAAGGTATGTAAGATGTAAAGGAGCAACGTGCTGAAATGTGGAATTCTGTAGTGTAACTGTGTCAAGTGTGTACAAAGGAGCACAGCCAAGACATGGGTCAGCACCAGTTTATGGGACATATAGTAGTATAAGAGTATCGTGAAAGTTTGGCAACCTTTTCTGGATTGATACTGTGATAGTTTGGGTTTTTTTGATTTGGGCAGGGGTGTTTCATTCTAATTTTTTATTTTTTGCGTGTACAGTCCTAATTGAGAACAACTACCAGTATCCTTAAATAGTTTCTTGACTCAATTTGTTTGTGAGATGCATTAGTCTGTAGTATGTCTGGGTGAGGAATGTCTTCTTCCATATGTTAAAGTTTCCTGGTTTATTTCTTTTGCAGCAACTCTGTCTAACATCTTCAAAATTCGTTGCACATTTGATGAATCAGAATGTGGTATGTTTCTTTGTTTCTACTCAATCCAAACCCTATATGGCTAATTTTTATTTTAAGAAAGCAATACCCTAAGTTAAGGTTCTTTGTTCTGAAAGTTGCTGAAGGCCTGAGTGTGGTTCCAGCTTAAGAGCTCTTTATAAAAGATACTGGTAATTGCTTATGCAGTTATCACCATTTATCACTGCACTTATGCTCCAGAGCTTCCCAAGATTTCATGTGTGTGTTTGGGCTTGTTTTCAGGCATGTCTGGATGCAAAGCAAGAATCATTTGAGACTCTGTCCCACAGATCTTAAAGAGTTTTCTTGCAACATGTGTGTTAGCAGAAGTGGACTCAGTTGCATCTAAATCAAATTTATATCCAGCTCTGTTCCACTTGATTATGTGTCAGAAATCAGGATGCTCTAATTTAAACAACATCAGGAATGTTTTGGGAATGTTCAGCATTTTGGTAAAGAGGAACTTAATCTGAGATGAGTGATTTGCTTATATGACTGATCCTGGAAGATCTTATTTAATTATAGATACAATGCACTTAAAACTGGATTCTGTCATGCAAGTGCTGGTTTGTTTGCTTTTTGGAAATGCATTCTGTTAATTTTTTAATGGCAAAATATTTTTCACTGCTAGCTTGTTCACTTAATAGAACAGTCATATTCACTAGAAAATTGGTGTAAATACTGATGGTAAAACTGGATTTGAAATTTTGACTTTCTCTTAATCAGCTTTGCCCTACTACTGCTGCCTTGTGTGTGTAATTAAACTGCTGTGTCGTGACATCCTCAAAGGCTGGACAGGTCAGTCCAGTAATGACTGTGGTGATAGAGTGACACTGTGCATTCTAATTCTTTGCTGATACTCTTTCTACAGGCTCATGAGGTTTTATGTTTGGAAATGCTCACTTTGTTACTTGAAAGGCCTACTGATGACAGTATTGAAGTAGCAATTGGATTTATTAAAGAGAGTGGGCTCAAATTAACAGAAGTTTCTCCTAGAGGTATTAATGGTAAGTACAGTTAGCCAAAGCCTATATTGGCATTGGTATTGGTACATACCTTTCATGTTTACATTTCTCTCTTTTCCAAAGCAATCTTTGATCGCCTTCGACACATTCTGCATGAATCTAAAATCGATATGCGTGTTCAGTACATGATAGAAGTCATGTTTGCTGTACGGAAGGATGGCTTCAAGGATCATCCAATCATTCCAGAGGGATTAGATCTAGTGGAAGAGGAGGATCAGTTTACTCATATGTTGCCATTGGAAGATGACTACAATCCAGAGGATGTTCTTAGTAAGTTAGAAATGAAAGATAATTTCGTAACTGCATTCCCCAAGAAAATAAATTCAAGATGAAATACTAATAGCTATCTTCAATTTGTGTTTTAAATAAAGATTCTCTTTTATTCTAAAGATGTTTTCAAGATGGATCCGAACTTTATGGAAAATGAAGAGAAATACAAAATGCTGAAGAAAGGTAGGGATATTTGTGTGTATACACATCCATTACCTATGGCATTTACTTATGCAGCTGTTGCTGCCAACATTTATTTAACAGCGGGTGATATTTCTGTTCTGTAAAACTTATTCAGTTCACAGACCTTTCCTTTGTGTTCGTGCTGCTCATTGTTATTTCTCCATCTGTATTTCCATTCAGTTATGATATATCTGCTTTTTGGCCTCTTCCACATTTTGTACCTGAAACATCCTTTCACTCCTCAGGAGTGGGATCAAGGGGTTTTTTGTAATGAAGGCACTGTTGTTCTGTGTTTTATTAATCTGAGATACTGCTCTTTCAGAAATTCTTGATGAAGGTGACACTGAATCTGAAGGAAATCAAGAAGCTGGAAGTAGTGAAGAAGATGAAGAAGATGATGAAGAGGAGGATGAAGATGGTAAGTACATGACTGGCACCTTACAATGTAGATAAACAGGAAAGAAAAGCTTAACTTCTTAGATGTTTTGCAAAACTGAGATGCTCAAATGTTAAGCAATGTTTTCCTCCCCAGTTATTCTCAGATCTGTGTTTTTACTAGCAAACAGTATGAAAGTCTGAAAGGAAGCATTCAGTACAAGCAGAAAAGGAAAAGCAATTTTCCCACATTATTCATGACAGTATCAGTTTCCTTTGAGAAAAGTGTTGCACACCTAAGATTTCTAAAAGAGCAGAATGAAAACTCTTGCTTAAACTTTTCCATGCTCAATCATATTTTTAAGTCACTTTCAAAATTAGGATGGATTTTCTTACAACTGTATCTACATCCTCCATATCTCACTTCAGCAGAGACAATACTTGCTCATTTTTCAAGAATGTATTCAATTCCCGGGAAAAAACATTGATGAGTAAGCATAATCAAAGTTTTTGTGCAGACTGCATGAGTAATGGAAAAGCCAGTCAAGTATTGTTCCTGTAGAAGACCAGGAATGGATTTCCTTACTAGTTTGGTAGAAAAAGAGCAGAGCTCCCAGACTCATGAAAAGTATGAACATTCACATAATTCCTCATTTTCTATGCTTTTACCAACCTTTAAAAGACTGAAGGAATAGTGAGTATTTTACAAATCAAAGTGATTTGGTTCAGAATGGATTTTTCTCTGCTTGCTCCAGGACTTTGCTGAATGCTGTAATGTAGATTCTGTAACTAACAGGAGCTAAGAATTACCTGCAAAAAGAGATGCTGCATAAAGTATTGTATAGCTGAATTGTGCAGAAAATTGATTGCTAATAATGTTATGAAGAAATGTTAAACCTAGAGGTTGCACTAAGAAATATGAAATGTCTTTAAAAGAATTACACTTTCAAAACTGCCTCTAAATATTTACCTTTGTTAAAGATGAAGCAAATACTGTTTTTTTTTCTTATCTATAAAAATACATAAACCTGCAAACAGTCCTAAATACTTCTAGAAAAATAGTGTGCTGCAGACTCGGTGAATGGTAAATAGAGCTGTCCTAAAAAATTACTACATGTGTCTCCTTAATGTTTTGCTCTTTACAAACCCAGGATTTTCTTTTCCAGGTCAGAAAGTTACTGTCCATGACAAAACAGAAATTAACCTGGTCTCCTTCCGTCGTACAATTTATCTGGCTATACAGTCAAGGTAAATATAAGTTATGCATCTATGAGTGTGGTTCTTTTGAAGTCAGTGAACTGTAATTCTCTTCCTTTTGAAATTATGTCTTAATACACAATTTAAAAAAAAAAAAAAAAAAGGTAGGGAAGTAGTCTTTATGGAGCCTGACCTGACTGTAAAGCAGACTGTTTTCCAAATTCTCATTCTAAGATGAATCTTGTTTGTTTCAAAATGTTTGGGTAGTGGACTGGGACTATTGCTGTAATGAGAACTTTTTGAGTGAACAGAAGTCAGTGATCTTCAAATTTTACAGTATCTTGACAATTTATGAAAAAAAAACTGAGACACACTTAGAAATTCTGTGGCTTGTCTCCACTTTTGAGATAGAGTTCTTTTGCCATCTGCATTGTGTGGAAAATAAGTATGCATTTACCAGCCCTGAAGTATAGTCTGCTTGTAGTCATGAACTCCACTTGCAGTTTGTGGTACAAGTACTCCAAACCTGCTGGTGTAGCTTCTCTGTCACCAGGCTGAGAGGAAGGATTGATTTTCTGCAACCCATAATACTCTGCAGGTCTGATGCAGCGTGACAAGTGCAATGATGTAGTTGTGGTGTTGATCACTAGACATATGAATTAATACCATACTGAGGGCATCAAAGGCTCTCACATTTCTCATAGTGACTGTTAGATACTTTCTTGCCATTTTTGAACTTGTTCATCTGATAAGTGGAGCAGGGAGGATGTACCTAGTAGTAGCTAAAGGTTTTCAGAACAGGAGTGCCAGAGGAGACTGCTATATATTGCTTTTGGAGCTGGTCTGAAGTGCTTGCATTTCAGTGTGTTTAAAAATGTGCAAAACAAGCTTCCACTTTTCTGTTTTAGTAAGTTTTGTAAGATGATGTGATAGTAATAATGACTTGGATCATCTTGTTTTCAAATTGCCTGCAAATGTAATCACTTTGGATTAATTTACAGAGAGAAACTCATGAAATACAAAATGTTTGTTAAAAAGCCACAAAAGCAATAAAGTCTCAGCAAATAAAACAGCTGATATACTTCACTTCAAAACTGTTGAGGTTTTATTACCAATGACTATTCTTGATATAGTTTTGGAATGTTTTTAGCATAGCCTATATTGCAGAGATAATAAGTGTTTCTTCTATTCAGCTTAGACTTTGAAGAATGTGCTCACAAACTGCTGAAGATGGACTTCCCTGAAAGTCAGACTGTAAGCCTTTGTTTACTCTTCTTGTTACTAACATTACAAAGATACAGTAATATGGTAGTATCTAAAAACCTTGCTCATGTTCCACCACCTAGTTTGTATAGCAGGCAGGTGAATGAGAGTCATTCCTTACAGCTGCTGTTCCTCAAAATTTATTTCACAACCTTTAGAGCAAATAGACTGACACACATTTCATAAGCAATTTGTCCTGTGCATGTGCTCCTTTCTGTCAAGCAACACAAATGTTTGCTCATGGCCTTTTAAAAAGGTCTGTTTGGACTGGGGAAAGTTCTGTCCTATGACAAGAGTACAGCAGCATGGCAGAGTTCTGTCTCTGAAAGGACTCTGGGTTGAAGATAATATTTGCAGGCAGCTGTAGACTTTATCAGTGGGGCTTGAAATTTAGCACAGTGCTATGAGTGTGTTGTTTTGGTGCTTTCACAGTAAGTCTTTGAATAAACAGGATATTGAATTAAAGTAGTTTTGATTGATTGCTGTAATTTTGGAGATCATGAGACTAAAGCTGCTTTTTCCTCACACCCTGTAAGATCAATGCATTTGCTGTGTTTTCAAGTAATGGAACCTGTTCTTCATCCAGTACTTTTGTTCAATACTAGTAGAATGTGAATACACATCTGATTTTCCAAGCAGCTTTTCAGACAGCTGTAAGCTGTCATCATAGGAGTTGCTTTTTAACTTCTTGTGGCTTTAATTATCAGTTTTATTTGAAACAGTGTGTGTAATAAGTAACATTAGTATAATACTAACTGGTAAGGGGAGATCTGGCCTACACTTAGGTGTTCTTTGAGGACTTGTTTACTTAAAATTTTTTCAATTCTTTTTTCAATCACTGTTGCTTGTTTCTAAGCAATTTACATGGAAGTAAACTTAAGAAGTGAGATTGTGATTTTTTTAAATGTGGTTCTCTAATTTTGTGCATGAAATGCATTATTAAGCCTGCATAAGATTATAATTCTCAATGAAGTTTGCATAACCTGAAGAACTCTAAAGAGAAAAAAAAATCCCATTGCCCAGCAAATCGATTCAGCTATAAAGAATAGAGCAAACAATGTAGAATATGTGTACTAGACCATACAACAGAGTTATAATGCATAACACTACTTGCTTGTAGTGAGAACTACTTAACTCTTAGGATTTAATACCATGGCAGTCTCTGTCAGCTGCTAACTTCTGTGGGCAAAAGGTGCTCAGAAGAAATAAGGGAAGGAAAAAGAAAAACCTTAGTATCAATTAGTATCAACCTATGATTCAGTACTAGTTGTAGGAATTGTTGCAATTTAAGATTGAAAACTGTTGTAAAACTGCATCCTCTTTTCACATGAGGCTTTACTTTTTACTGATTTCTTTTTTCCCTTAACAGTCCTAACTACTTTTCACCTCATTTAATCAAAGACATGAGAGTTTTGACTTGTTCATTGTATAGAATTAACCTCCTTTATGGGGACAAAAATTTAAAAGAAAAAGACACATCCTGATCATTGTAAGAGCAGAAAGTATAAGCAAATGTAGGCAGCAAAATTATTCAGGGGTTTCTACGAGTCTTGAATGTGGATATGAGTCTTGAGTCTGTACATGTGGATAAAAAAAACACTATTAATACATTCAGCAGGTATAATTCAGTAAGTTAGCTGCCAGATTTTAAGGTAGAAAAATCACCTTTTATTCGTTCAAGCTACTGTCTTCAGACTGAAGTCTTAATTGAATTAATTCCCTCTGCCTTCATTAAAAACCAAGCTATTACTGAGTTTGCAGATGACCCCAAGTTGGACAGGAGTATTGATCTGCATGAGAGCAGGAAGGCAGAGGGATCTGGACAGGCTGGGTCAGTGGGCTGAGGCCATTGGTGTGATGTTCAGTGAGGCAAAGTGCTGAGTCCTGCTCTTGAGTCACAACAGCCCCAGGCAGAACTACAGGCTGGGGCAGAGTGGCTGGAAAACTGCCCCAACAGCAGGAAGGGACCTGGAGGTGCTGGTTGGCAGCAGATGAACATGATCCAGCAGTGCCCAGGTGACAAAGAAGGCCAGTGGCATCCTAGCCTGGATCAGGAATAGCGTGACAGCAGGACAGGGGTAATGACCATCCCTCTGTACTGGGGACTGAGACCACACCTGGAGTGCTGTGTGTGGCTGAGGGAGCTGGGCTTCTTCAGTCTGGAGAAGAGGTGGCTCAAAGGGGACCTTATCACTGTGCAAGTACCCAAAAGGAGGGTGTAGCCAGTGGGGGCTGGTCTTTTCTCACAGATAACAACTGACAGCACCAGAGGAAATGGCCTCAAGTTGCACCAGGTGAGGTTTAAATTAAATACTAGGAACAATTTCTTGACTGAAAGTGTGATCAGTCATTGAAGCAGGTTGCCCAGGGAGTGGTGGAATCGGCATCCTTGGAAGTGTACAAATGATGTGTGGGTATGGTTTAGTGGTGAACACAGTGGCATTGGGTTTATGGTTGGACTTGCTTTTAGAGGTCTTTTCAACCTTTATAATTCTCTACTACTCCTATTTTAGCCATGAATCACTTCTTTTTTTTTTTTGGTCTGTTTTACTGAAAGCTCCAGCAATCTGTATTTCAGGATGTTGCATCTTAATTCTTCACACTTTCTGATTCAAAGCTTTAAACAATCTTGAGAAATTCCTGAAATGTTTGCTGAACTCTTGGGTGAACCTGCAAACTTTGTTTATGCTCATTCTCTGTTCCAACTCCTACTATGCATGGCAGTCATCATGAGAAGCAGGAGCTAGAGTATTTAGCAGAAGTATTCCTTAAAAATCAGATGTTACTTAAGATTTTCATTGCAAAATTTTTTTGTTCAAATCAAGTCTGATTTTACAGAAACATTCTGATTTTCTTCTGAAAGGCTTACTTAATAAAGCAATATGTATTTAATTTTGTAATAAAGACTGTTTTCCACAAGCTTTGAGTAGTAAATTGTCAATTAAATACAATCAAAAAACTAATCAGAATATCTGAAACCTAAAGACAAATGCAAACAACAGGTTTAAGACTAATCCAGTCTTAATGACATCTTTCTGGGTAACTCTTCCAGAAATCTTCATGTGTAGAAACTTTTGGTGTGATTTATCAGGGTTAAGTTCAGAAATACATTAGCAGTTTTTACCAGTTGTTGAATTATCAGATAATCGTGTTACATTAACTGCTGTTGATTGTCTGTTTAATACCAGTAATGGATCTATCACATAGCTCTAACTCACAGAAAGAGGATTAAGGTTCAGATGGATAATCTGTGGACTGGAACAACATAATACTGCTTTTTGGCATTGCAGTTAGGGCCAGCTGCTGAGGAGGGATGTCAGCAGTCTTGTGGGGTTTGTTTTTTTTTAACATTTAAAGTGTTCTTTCATTTCTAAGTACATTTACTAGGAGTGGGTTTGCTTTTATTCATGTTATTTAGACGCTTCTGAAGCCTGCAGATCAAAAGTGAAATAGCTTTGCTATCTGCTGTCTGTGCAAAGCTGTTCTAAACAAGCCTTGCAATTGCTTCTTTGGGCATATGTTCAGTCCTGGCAGAGCTCACTGTTTCACTTTTTTAAAAAAGCACTGTTATCTCTGTTATAGCTGTGTTAATCCCATGTATTACCAAAGAAGAAAATTTAAATAAATTAAAGCTGTAGTTAGAGGAGTGTGGTATTACCAGTTGTTCTGGCTGCTGAACTGTGGGGAAAAGCAAGCAAACAAGCCCAGCTGAAATGCAGACAACTAAAAAAAATTAAACCGACCATACATTGTTCTTGCTCTTTGAAAATGTGGCTAAAATGGATTGGCTTTTAGGCTTTTCTTCTTTCTTGGTTTGTGATAAGAACTAAACTTGTATATAGAAATGTTACTAAATTAAATTAGAGCCTTTTCTAACACTGTGTATATTCCAGATAACGGTAATGCGTCACCAGATTTTTTTTTTACTTGAAATGAGAAATACTCTTGCAGGCGTAGCCTTCTTGAAAGAATTATGCATGCATCTGACACATTTTCATTTTTACAGGGTGGTGTCACTTGCTCAAAGCAGTCCTAGTTGGTGGTGTGGGAGTGTCAGTGTCTTGTGTTATTTGTGCCTTGAGTCTTGAAAATAACACAAGTACTTCTGCTGGCTTGACTATTTTCACTTTCAGTGAAAATATAGTTCAGGAAACTGATGTAGAGCAGGATGGTCTAAGGCTGATAATTACACTTTGGTCAAATTTATGATTTCTTAGATACATTAATTTCTTCTCTAATTGGAGATCATTGCAGCTGATAGGTTTAGCAACTGCCCCATGATTAATTCACAGCCTTGCTACTGGCTGTAAAAGATAATCATCCTCAAGTAGCTTTCCTGTCTTTTGAAGCAGGAGGTTTCTGTGGGCCTGAGGTGCAGGATCATTCTGAATTTCCATGATTTATCAGTACCATGCATGCACATATCATGTTGTGGTATTTGTTGATGTCTGCAAAGTGAAGGTACAGAATCCATACAGAATTAGCCTGTTGTGTTACTGATAGCAGGCATTAGCTAGAATTCTGCCTAGATTTTGATGATCCACTGAAGGAGGTGAAGTTGCTCAGTGAAATCACTTAAAGTGAAGTTTTGCATTTTTTGTGTGTGTTTGTGTGTTGCAGACTAGTAGCAGCATGATTTAAAATAGATCTATCCTTATATCCAGTTAATGATTCCTGTGTAAAATATTAAGTCTGATTTACACAAGATTTATGATAACCATATTCAGCTTTAAGCATATGTTGCTCTATACAGAAAAGGGATTGAGCAAAAAAAGGGACAAAAGTGGAGGAAGACCATTGGAGAGCACAGGACAGACCTGGAGATTTTGTAGTAGCTGCTAAAAGCACTGCACATAGCTTGACAAGAGGCTGCCTGCTGCTGAAATGCCTTCCATGGCTTTGTCAGCTTTGGCTCTAAGTGGTAACTTGACAAATTAAGAAGAGAAAGTAGAGATGCTGGGAAAGGTGGGCTGTGTGATGGTTACACCATTAAAATATGCATCAGTAAGGAAAGCTTTAAGGTAGTCAGTGGGAGTAAAATACATATCAGTGAATTAAAAGAGAAAAAAGAAGTGTGACGTCTGTAAAAGCAGTGAAAATACATAAAATGCAAGGCACTCGTTTCACATAATTCCAATTTCACATTGATTTAAACAAACCTGAGGCCTGCACTAGATTTGCTCCTGGCAAACCAATTCCTTTAGTTCCATGAAGAAACTTCTAGAAAGAAGTGTTGACATTGAAAATGTTCATTTTAAGAATAGCTTACAGGGTGGGGATGTCTCATGATGGCTCCAGCTTGTGTGTGCAGTGGATACACAATGGAACAGAGCTGTGGGGCTGGCAGGGAAGGGAGCTGGAAATGGCATCACTTCCAGCCAAGGAGAGCAGAAGTGACCTCCACATGGAGGCAGCCTGGGGG